CGGAGAGAGGATTAGCATTAACAGTTGAATGCTCTACTAAGGTCCTTGTACCATATGTGGAGGAGACCAGTTAATGTATATTAATAAAAGTTGGTTAGCCTAACTTTATTACAGTTCTTTTTGTTATATCTACAATTAATTCAAGTCTGACTCAGCTTAAACTCTTTCACACTGTAAAGACTGAGTAAAGACTGTTACGTTAATATACTAAACATTTCTATTGTAAAAAGTTTATTTAGTTAACAAATAGACTTAAATGTTTTGGTACAACCCATGTATCTTTGGCATGTAAAATGCTGCATACATTGATCATGTGAAGACAAAGCAATCCCCACTATAGAGCTTAAAAGGTTAACTTTGGTATTTTTCAATGTGGACCTTATTCTCCCATGTTTGTGTCTATATGACTAACTGGGACAACATTTTTTGAAATTGGTCCAGTATTGAGCAACCACACTGCAGTCAGAGGCAGTGAAACAGGGCTGCAAAATAAGTACGTCCACTAAAGTGTCTGTTTTTGCCATTGACAGGTTCAGATTGTTGTTATAGTCAGTAAGATTTTCCCCACCATTATAAGACTTGGGGCACAACGCCTACATTTTTTCACAGCACCTAAGCCAAATATACAGAAAAGAACAATGCTGAGACACGTATTTGTGCATACGTGCGCACACACAGAGCGAACCAGGTGAAGTGAAGATAATGTGTTACTTGAGGCTAATAGGTGTTTTTCTGATGACTGTATAATTCCAGCCAGAAAGTTTCAAAGAATAGGTCAAAACACTCCACAGTGTGGGAACATTTTGGGTTTAAGCTGAATGAGAGGACATCCCATTAATGTGAACGAGCCGGTATGTCGACTTGTTTATAAATAGTGGCAACAAAAAGCAGCAATACAGCTACCTGTGCTTAATGTTTAATTTTAATTTAATGCAATTATCAAGAGCCGTAGAGTCTATTTTCCTTTTTGTTCTGTGGTTTTCTTTTATTTATGATTTATTTATTTAGGATATTTTAATTTTTTCCCCTATTCCCATTCCAATGTCTGAATATTCTTCTGAATAAAAAGCTCTTTGAATTATCATTATGTGAGTGGCATAAAATAGTCTTAAAATGACAATAATATATTTTATTGCAATTATTTCTATCTTATTTATCTTACTAAAAGTAGTTATCATGACAGGCGTAACATTGAGCCTTAAAAACAGCTGCACAAAAAGTTTCAGTGACCAAAGACTAAAGGAAGGTACTGCACTTACCACATTTTTTGGATCTGAAGTTAATCTTCCTCCTGCATTTCCGTGCCAACATGTTTTTTTGTCTGTAATCTGCAAATGCTGCAGAAACAACATAACTTGTTGTTATTCTATGTTTGATTTTGACAACAGACACTGATTCTCGATAATGTCACAAATATACTTACTTTTGCTGCCTCCAAAATCCGGCGACTGTTTTCGGTCCTGCTTGTACTCCATGTAGCTGTTCGTAGGTGTGGAGGGCAACTCAGCTGAAACATAAACAACTTATTTGACTGATGTTTCTAATTTCTGCTGATTCACTTTTATGAATATTTTAATATTAAGAAACACCGACACCCAATAAGAAACGAAGGAAAGAAAAAAAGGTAAAATGAACTGCAAAACATATTTAACTCCAACCATGGTGCAAAGTTAGTGCCGGCCTCATGCTGGTAAAATTACTTCTCTCACCAGCCAAAAAAAACAATGTTAATTTTGCACCCAATACAAAAAACAAAACACTAAACCTTTTCTTCTCAGTGTGCTTTCACAAAAATGCTCATAGTTGAAGGCCAGAGCTTAAAGGTTGTGCAAGGGTCTGGGACATACTAAACAAATATATGGTAAGAGGAGAAGCTTATGTAAGTGGTGGGATAGCTGTTATTTTCACCATGTATATTTCTCACTAATATAATTTACTTTAACTGAAATAATACAAGGTGAGAACATTTCAGAGCTTGTGACATGTTGTTTCTTTGACATTGCCTTTTATGACACTTCATTTAGGCCTACTATGCCTATTTGAAAACAGAAGCTATATTGTGGGTGGTTTACGGCATACTGAGCTTAAACTTACCCTGTGTTGCACCTACATGTATACCAACACTCCTACAAAAATACATATCTTTACCAGTGATATGAGTGGATTATTTTATCTCCTTGATGACACTATATCAGTGCAGCCCATCCTCTTGTCTATGATGACCTAACACATTACATAAATAAATAATGTAAACTATACATTTGAGTATAAAAGTATAATTTGTTATGAGACAGGAATTATACATATTTACATATAACAATGTGTTTCAAATTACTTCATTCATTAATTGTAAATGTGTGGTTTGCTTGTGAACTGAGCTTAAAACTCAAACTGGACTAAAATTCAGGGTTCTTGCACCATTTTAAAAGTCAAATTTAACGCTTTTTAAGACCTCAAGAAATATAAATTTAAGACCTCAAATTTTGAAACAATTTCTTTGATAGAAAACAGACTCGCGTTTGATCTCTTAATGAACGACGCAATGCCATATTGCCACTGTGATCCGATCAGCAAAACGACCTCTGGATGTGGTCAGGGACACCATGACCACATGGATGCAAATGTGTTGTCTATCCACATACAACAACTACTTGGGTGGAAATATGTACCGCTCACAGTCTTCTGCAAATAAAATCCAAAAGTCTGACAGCGCAGACAGGTGCCTGAACAGTGTTCATTCAGTGTTGTGCATAAACATGCTCAAACATTGTAAATTATTGATCTTGCTGATGTTTTTGGTGAACCTATCGTGTCCGTTTGTGAATGTGAACTAGGGGGCAATATAACAATAATGTTAATTATTGTGACACAATCTTCCTCAGTAACAATATACAAATGTTCAATAAATATTTGATTTAAATCATTTGAATCACAAACAAATTAGCACTTTCTTTTCTATTAAGATATTTATTTTGTTGAGGAAAAGGGACTAAAAAAAGATTTGACTTAATTTTTCTCATGCATATTTGTTGTTTTGAATGTTCTACCTCAGCTCTGTGAAGTGATACACTGTTTGATACCAGGCTGCTTTTTGGCATCAAGTGTTTGTCATGTTCTGACTATAAAGAAACGTTTAAAAGCACAATTAACCATCTGGTTTCTTCAGGAGCAAAAATCAAGCTTTAAACTTATAATAATAAAAATAATGATTTTACTATTTTTGTCCATATCGCCCCGCCCATACTCATACACTGCTGTGTTAAACTCAATATAAACTACTAAAATAACAGAAAAGAGTAACTTACACATTATAACGGAAAGGTAGCAAGAAAACGATGTCGGACCGAACTTAAGTTTCACTTTCACTTTCCGGCCGATTTAATACACAAGCGCACCGCTAAAGAGAGGTAAATAATCCATGGAGGAAAACAAATCACGGTGAAAGACACACTTTAGAAAGTTATTTTAACCTGTAGTTATAGATAATTTTTTGGACCGGCGCAAATGAGAGGAGGACGTGATGTAGGCTACAGTTGTTTGAACTAGACAGAACGATAAGAACAATCCTCCTCCAACCACTTTAACTTGTGTCTCCCAATCTTGCAGCCACGACTGACGATAATATGACGTCTGCAGCTAACGTAAATCAACGAAAATCATACAAATTTAAGGAGCCGCGGGAACCCTGAAATTGATAACCGTTTGTTGGGCTAGCTTTTTTTCTCTAGACAAAATACACTCAGTTGCCAGTTTACCAGGTACACCTAGCTAAAACTAATGTCATGACTTCATTGATAAAAGTAGGGAGGACAAAATATTTGTAACACTATAACCAAAAACAATTTAACGTCCACCCCCCCAAAACAACTGTTACAGCATTTAAAATTACCATATATTTAAATCAACACCACCAAATCAATCAGTTTCAACAAAAGCTGAACATTATAACCCTCTTAAGGTAGGATGTATGTCAGGGCTGCTTCATTAGACTAACTTATTATTACATCAGTTTTAGCAAGATGTAACGTTACACAGAATAATGCTCATTTATATATCTGTAACGTTGTTCTTCCATTCCATATTTATTATATTTCTACATTTATTTATGACAACTGTATGTTTGTCTACGTGTAGCACCTGATCACCACAGCAAATTCCTCGTATGTGTAAAACACTACTTGGAAATAAAGCTCCTTCTGATTCTGATAAACTGGCAGCTGTTTAAGAGTAGAGTCAAATAATCAGTAACAAACTGGTAACACGTGATCACAGTCACATCAGCAGTTAAATGTCCTGGGTGGGACAAACAGTCTTATCTAACATTTACTGTCAGTCGGCACTTTTAACACGTGACTGAGACCACTGGCATGCTAACGTACAGCGATAAAAAGTGACTTATTATTTAGTTGACAGTGGGACTATAATCCGTTCACTTAGCATACACGGTCAAATCTAAGGGAATGATTTAGCTAATGAATATTAAGTTAGCCATGTAACGTTAGCTAGCTGTCGTTGCTAAGTTACACGGCTGGTTGACTAACATTATACTTACATGACATCGACCTCTGTTGCAAACAAACGAGAAACACCGCACAAATAATTTCACGTAACTTCTCTGAAAGTTAGTTAGAAACACTTTCCATCTCTGCCCTTGCGCGGTGACAGTCACACCAAAAACACAGTGTCCTCTCCAGCCTGCCGACCCCTCACGCACTCACCTGATAATTACTTTGGCGTTTTTGGTAAGTCCCATTTTCAAAGCGACTCTTATTCCAGATGTGATATGAGCTGGTCTGTCGGAGCAGAAGCGCTAATTTTCGCCTTTGGAAGTGTAAGCCGCATTTCAGCGGTACCAACATCGGCGCCATGTTGACGAAGGAGGAAGGCGGTTAGTCAACACGCCGGGGACGTCACATCCGGTCTTCATCAACGCTGTCAAAGCTAGCAAGCGTGCTACATTTTTAATGAGATATCAGCCGCTAGTTTCTTCATAACACGACGTTATTTGTTGTCTAACGGTTTGTGGATGTGGTCCTAATTGGCAGTTGATATGCTGTAGCTGCGTGAATCGGAGAACCTCACTTAAAAACACAAGTCGCAGCCAAAGGAAGAACACGTTGTCGTCTTTGTCAAGGTAACCTAAACCGCCAGTTAAGTGGGTCGCTAGGTCAAGAAACGCCATCTGGCTTTAGCACAGTTTTAAGAGAAAACCCCTTGATCTCGTGCTCAGGATGCCATGCCACAATCAGCAGCTGAACAATGTGAGCAGTGGCCAGGAGCACCCAATGAAGCAAGTGCGATTTGCTAACAGCGCCAACAGCACTGTGCCTGCGGTGCTGTCCAACTCTGAACCCACTGATGCCACCATACAGCCTGACAGCCAAGATAACCTGGGACCTCAGCTTAAACTGCTCCCTCTGAATGACCAGATCCGTGAATTACAGACCATAATCAGAGACAAGTGAGTCCCCACTCTCCTATCATGACATACAGATCTCAACCAATCTGCTGCTCACTTAGCATATTGCATCTAATCTGTGTGTGTGTGTGTGTGTGTGTGTGTGTGTGGGGGGGGGGGGGGGTCACAGTGAACTTGAACCCAGGTCTCTCACACCAAAGGCATGTGTCTTATCCACTGCACCATCACCACCTGATATGAATATGATTGCCAAGCAGAAGAAGCATTTATTAATTGGTCATTTCACTCCAGAATCTGAAAAAATTAAAAATAGAAAAAGGCAACATACCTTTATCGTAATTAAAGTCCTATGCAGTATAGTCTCATATAACTGTATCAGAAATATGCAATCAATCTGATGGGTATCAGTACTGATCCTGATTTAATGAAACCATGGTATTTATCACACAGGGTATGTGACTGATCAAGGTTAACCTCTGTCTTGCCAGCGGGACAGTTAATGGAAACGTCAAAAAATGATGCAGCTTTAATACTATTTCACTCAGTGTTAACATCACATTGTTTATAGTCTGGAACAAGCTGATAAAGGATATACAGTGGATGTTGTTTTGTCAAGACAGTGTGGAATAAAATTACTTTCCTACCTTTTAAAGCTACTTAAAGGATTGGGGTGTCGGAATGACTAGTAGGTGGTTTTGGAATCCGTGCAGTAGGCGAGTTGTTGGAGGAAACACCTGTGGAAACGTGAGTCAGAGTTGGTGAGAATGGTTTGGAAATAAAGTCCCCTCTCGTGTTTCCACAGTCGTCTTCCTGCAACAAGTCCCCACTCACAAGAGAGAATTTATCCTTGAGTAAGACTTTAATTTTGTTGTCGAAATGACTTGTAGGCAGGATGCAAAATTAGCACCGGCCAATTGCTAAATTATGCAAATGTCTGGTCGATTTGGTCTGGTGGGTAAAAAAACAACGGTCATCTATTGAGTGGCTGGTACTCTCTAAACATTCACTAGCCCTTTGGCCGGTGGACAAAAAAGCTAACTTTGCACCGTGCTAGTGGGTACAAAATGTTTCTGAAACTGGCTTCAGCCGGCAGCCGCAAACCAACTGCAGTAGCTACAAGATATTCCTTTGGGGAAATTGTGCCCGTCAAAATTCCTTCCACAAAAGTGCTTCAGATTGTTATACCAGGTGTCTGACAATATCATGGAAAGGATCCCTACGTGTGACACCCGATGACACCCTTTGTTTTTAATAAGAAACACAAATCTCACTCAAAGACAATTCTTGCTGGTGGAAATAAGGGAAAAGAGTTTGTTGTGTACATAGAGGAGCTGCTAGCAAGATTTAATTTCCAAACTTTACTTTAACACAACAAACTGTTCTCACCAACTCTGACTCACGCTTCCTGCAACAACTGCCCTACTGCTCGGATTCTAATCTTTTTGTACCAAAAAATCTTTTCGACACCAAAATATGTAAAAATATAGCCCAGGTTTAAAATACTGAAATTATCCTTTAAAGGATAAAGAAAGGAAACTGGATCTTAAGGAGTTAAACACTGTTTCTTAGTCACTATTCTGTTTATGCTATAAACCCTCTACAATGATTTAATGTAATATTTTGCACAAGCATAAAAAGAATATTGGTGAATGAACATCTCGACTTACTGTTAGGAGGTTTTGTGTTTTACCTTACCTTAAACAGAGGAATGATCCCAATCACCTCCACACAGTGAAGTAAAGATTTGAAATGAAAAGAGATCTATAGATATAGGATCATTGCCCGCTATCGGCCAATACGGTACATTTATCTTATGTATCATAACAGGAGAGAAAATGTGGGTTTGGTTCATCCTGGGTGAAAAGTACATCCTGAACGATTAAATCAAATGGCTATATTTGTATTTTCAGGACAACTAGCAGAGGGGACTTTGTGTTTTGTGCTGATCGACTGGTAAGATCATGACTTAATACTACATATTGTACATGTGTGTATGTTTATAAGCTACATGCTGTAAGCTTTTTCTGTCTCCAACAACAGATCAGACTTGTAGTTGAAGAGGGTCTGAATCAGCTCCCCTACTCAGAGTGCACTGTGACTACGCCGACAGGTGAGGATCTCCTTCTCTAACAACAAAGTCAACGTTTAGGTTTAAAGGTTGAATCTGAGCTCCAACATGTACAACCCCCTCCCCCAACCCACCCCTGACAAAACTCGATAGATCTGGCCAATTATCATAACATAAATGCAAAAATAAGTGTAGGACTCCGGCATGTATGTGAGCAGCTACTTGTGATTTGTTTCCCCCCCTCAGGGTACAAGTATGAAGGTGTCAAGTTTGAAAGAGGCAACTGTGGAGTCAGCATAATGAGGAGTGGTAAGTTTAACCTGCCATAGCTCACTACCAAATTAGAGTCTTTCCTTTGTGAGGGCATGTATTTTATCTTCCATGCATATGTGATTTGTGCACTCGTGCTCTGCACATATTCATCAGGCCAGGCTACTCTGTGCTCTGGATCACACGCTTTTTGTCTTTTCTTTTCTCTCAGTGGAATTGATTGATCATGTTAATACTAAATAGTACAATAGAATAATGTTAACTCTGACATTGAAACATACATTTCTGTACTTTGCAGAGCATGTTCTCTGAAGGCGTCAGCAGAAGTAACTCGCTTGTTCTTTGTCCTTCAGATTTAATGAGACTGTCAAATGCACAACCTTAATGCAGTTACTGCAAAACCTGTAAACGGCTGTAAAATGTGAAACGTGGGCTTGTTGGACACAAAGCTCAAATACTTCATCTTAAAGGCAACCACCATAGGCAGTGTGCAACACCCGCGCCTATTGTTTTCTATGCCAGTCCAAACAACAGTGGAATCCTGACATGTCCTTGTGGGTTGGCGCTTATCAACATGTCAGGACACAACGCTGTCCTATTTCTGAGTAACACAACAGCATCCCAGAAAAGCAGCGATTTTATCACATTTGCTCCTTAGATCAGTAAATCCAGGCTTCTGTACTTGTACTCTCTATGTGGTGCGTCCGGTGTGTTCTGTGAATATACTGTGTGTTGTCCATTGCACTGTGCATGTTTATAGAATGGTGGGCTATGTAGACCTTTGCACACACAGTTGACTTTGTGTTCAGAGACATACAGAAGTGTCTTCTGTAAGTGTCTACATTTACACACTCATTTTTACACACATTTTTGTAAATATTTGATTATATCTTTTCATATGACAACACTGAAGAAATGACACTTTGCGACAATGTAAAGTAGTGAATGTACAGCTTGTATAACTGTGATTTTGTTGTCCCCTCAAAATAACACATCACATAGCCATTAATGTCTAAACTGCTGGCAAAAAAAGTGAGTACACCCCTGAGCAAAAATGTCAAAATTTGGCCCATTGTGTCAATATTTTGTGTGGCCACCATTATTTTCCAGCACTGCCTTAACTCCATAAGCAGAGGTAGCATGGGTGCGGCTGACGAAGGGCCCCGGCTGGTAGGGGGCCCCCCTACGTGGGCCATGAAGTTTGGTCAGTTGATTGTTGTCGACATGGATGAACAACTGCGCTACATGCAGCTTCGCTGTACCGAGAGAATTCAGCAGCTGTTATCAAATGAACCAGTCCCTTCACTCATGGTTTCAATGGTAAACTATCACAAGAATGACAGTTACCAACAAAAATACTATATTCTAAGGAGACACGTTTTAATAAGCATAAATCATAAAGTAACATTTGTATTTCAAACAAATGGCAAACTTATTAGCACATTTTAACAAAACTCCCTTCATCCTCATGCATCATGAGAATTGTGAGGGACGGACGTAGGCTGCGTTTGTGCAATGGTTTATTTATGCCGTCAAAGTCCACTGGAAGACACAGAAGCATTTCAGCAGCGGAGCATGTCGCCTGCCGCATGTTACTGACTTGTTTTTAAAATGTCCTTTTTGTGCTTCTACTACCTTCTTCAAAGCTCTTTATGACCCAATTTTGTTCCTCGTCGTGACAGGTGCATCTAGCAACTACCACAGGGAGCATTTCAGAATAAGACGTGTTGCCTGCCAGATTTTGCTGACACATTTAGATTTTGGTGATTAGTGCGTTTCTTTTTGTCTAACTGTGTTCATTGTTGATATCCAATCAGAATTCTGTACTAGGTATTTTATTTTGAAAATTGACTGGATTCTCTGCCGTTTTTTGTGTCTGACTTGCTGCCCGGTTCATCTGCTCTGTGCTGCTTGATGCTGGGACGCTTCTGGGACGCACTGCAGTGCTTCTGGTTTGAGCACAAACATTGACTAGAAAGGCTGCGATCAGCTCTGGCAGCAGCGACGCAGATGGACTCAGTGGACTTTTCCGAGTGAGTCCGGGGTCATGTATACTTGGTTTAAATGACCTGGTAGTAGGTGGTCCACTGTGCTGAGAGTCTAGCTACGCCCCCGCTTAACTCTCTTGGGTTTGGTGTTCACCAGAGCTTTACAGGTTGCCTCTGGAGTCCTCTTCCACTCCTCCATGACAACATCACGGAGCTGGTGGATGTACGCTCCTCCACCTTCTGTTTGAAGATGCCCCACAGATGCTCTATAGGGTTAGGTGGAGATTTGCTTGGCCAGTCCGTCACCTTTACCCTCAGTTTCTTTAGCAAGGCAGTGGTCGTCTTGGAGGTGTGTTTGGGGCATACGCGTAGGAGCCATTATACATGAGGGGGACATGCCCCCCCCACCCCCCCCCCCCCCCTATGTTTTGTCCCCCTCACTTTTTTCGGCGATTTTGGAGATTGATCATAGCCAGGCGGTTTGAGTGAATAGTTAATCAATCAGTCATACACTCTGCATCAATATGATTAAACGGTTAAAACGCGGACAGAAATCATGTGGCCTATAGACATGCAACAGAAGGCAAATGTGGTGCTGAAAAGTTTGCTCAAGCAGGTGCGGCAAAGTGCCTCAATATTATGTTTATTTTGTGCTGTTCTTTTTGTACCTAAAGACAGCAGTGAGTACGCCTGCTGCAGGGTGGGTAGTGACTTGTTACAACTAACGTAATTTTGCAAAATTAATAAATAAAATAAAAAAAGTAATTGGCACCTTTTCACATTCCTTTTTTAAACTGTAGCCTACTTTTACTCTTTACTCCAGTATTTTCTGTGGGCCAGTAATTTACTTTTAATTTCGCTACATTTTCCATTCATACCTTCATAACTTCACCAGTCTGTAATCTGCAATAGGCATCCTAACCGAAATGAGCAGTCAGCCAGGCTGTGTGCACACAGTTACTGCAGAAGAGATATGAATGAGCTGGGCAGATGCAAACATTTAGAAAATCAGGCAAATACCTTTTCAGTTCAAGGCTTTATTGTTCTACTGAAACAACTGAAATCCAGTGAGCCACACCATAGCACTGGTGGCCTGTTGGAAAGCAGCCTGCGTCGCTCTTTAACAAGCCAGCCGGCACCTACTTTCACTTTCCATTAACGGCGCATTAAAAGCGTCTTTAGTCTCTGCAGAGAAAACGTAAACTTCACACTGTAACATCCATTTTCAACAACAGAATCCTGTTATCGAAAAGATGTGTCGATAAACAGAATGTCGCCGGTGACACAAATCTTGGCTTTCACTCAGCAGCTACCAGCTGTTATTTATTCAGGAAACAATCATTTTTGAGATGCGCAGAGAGAAATATGGTAAAACAGTCCTGTTGGGCTTTACGCATGACGCACAGCTTCCTCTGTATGTCGGTTTACCTGCTTCAACAACGAGCTTCTCCATGTTACTGCCACAATAATTCTTTGCGTTGCAAAGATTATTTAGATGCTTTAGGAATAATCAGATTTTTTGGCTGCCTGTGCTGCTGCAAAGCAGGTGGTTTGGTTGGCTACATGTCCATAATAAAGATACAGGCAACAAAAGTCGGGGGCTGCAAGCTGATATTTTAAAGTGATCTTATCAACACATTCATGGAGATTTAAAAAGAAAAATAATTATTAAACAGAAATAGCTAAAGATAATCAACCAGCAAAGCAAATTGCATTCCCTAGAATAACCATGTTGTTTCTAGGGAACAAACCTGATGAACAGCAGATGAAATATATTATATTTATACATGAGTAGGTTTGTCATTTTTTTCTTTTCCTTTTTATGGGAGTAATTGTACTTTTTCTTGAGTAAAGACTTTGTACTCTACCCACCACTGGCCAGCGGCACCAGTACTAGCGCTGACACGGAGAACATGAGACAGACAGCAGAGATGAGGCAAGAGCAGAACAGAGTCAAAGCCAGCACAGTCCACAGCAGCAGTTTATGGTAAGATTGATGATGATATGGATTATTTAGTTATCTACTCAAGGGCTCAGCTGAAGTGATTACTTTACTTTAGGAGTGTCAGAGGGATGTTTGTAGTTTGAAAATGTATTTCAATGGCTCATTTAGTTATGTACTCTACTTGCATAAAAAATCGCAAGAATGCAGGAATAAAGGTCTCTAAATACCCAGAGGCCCCAATAAATGCTTTGTTGGAGAGCGGGTTGACCAGGGACAAACCTGGGCCACTTTTTTGCCTCCGTCTGTGACCATCCTTGACCTTAAAAACTTGTGCATGAGGTGTGTAGTGTCTCTGCTACGTGCCATAAACAATTTGAAAGTAGTCAAAATGTTCACAGAGAGACGAGCATCCTGCAGTATTTAGGAGGAAGAGGTCAGAGGTCACAGGAGCAGAAATAACTGAGGAGACGAGCTTCTAAGTTGTATGGCTAGCTACTAGACGTAGTATTTCTAAAACTCACGTAGTAAAAAGACTTTGTTATTCCAATGCCATGTCATCAAGTTTCAAGTGTAACACCAGGATAACTAAATACATTAGTACTGTGGCTACATTAACTAGCAGCTGTTCCATGGTTTTTATGGTATGTAGTTGGTTTGTTCTAGTTATATTATACTCCCTCTCTCTGACCCTCTCCCTCTTCGAGTTTTCATAATCTCCCCTCTCCAGTCTGTTCTCCATCTTCTGTCTACAAAGACCCTTTTCAGCCATAATACGTACATTCTGTTTTCAAAAGTCATTAGAAATGAGCATTTAATCAGAATCGGAATCAGAA